AATGTATGCATCAATATGCATGACGTTCTCCACGCTGTCGCCTTGCTGTTGATCCTGTCGTGCTGTTAACCACACAGAACTTTGACCCGTTACTGAACACCACATTCCCAAGTTTCTGTCGGTTCTGTCGATACCAGAGCAAACGGGCGTCGTCACAGGCTTTCACAGGCAGTCTGTCCCTTACTGTCTGAATCTGAGATCATGGTACAGTCGGTAAATGCTTCCTACTGCTCATTCCACAGATTCACACATCTTACCAGTTATACCTCATAATGTGACTAATCAGGATTTACCCATAATTATTTAAGAGAATAACTGATTGACAGAAATAGTTAATAAATGTACCTCATTTGAACTTCAACGCCACATATCAAGCTCACTGTTTTGGTCTTGTGGGTTTAAAATGATGTATAAATAAATCTGGTGTGTGGTAAGTTTAACTTCCAAATGATGGGGAATTTTAATTTTCCCTTCACTGTCTCGGATTTTCTCACATTGTTTTCTTCTCTAGAGCTCAAACGTCTCTAAACCTCAGCGCTACAGATCTGGAATGAAATCTTAATTCTTGTGCTCCAAACGAATAACCACATCAAACCGACAATTCAGTTATGTTTACACACAACTCCTTTCCTAAAACCATGTACTCTAAATTCCTAAATGTTACCCAGACAGTATACAGAACAAACATTCCCCTCCCGCTCCCGAACAATCAGTCAAAGAACCGTAAACATCCGGGCTGGAAAATGTGGCAACTTAAACCAAAGGGTCCCCAAATATAATGTTAACAAAAAAAGAGAAAATGTCAACTACATTTCCTCTTGCTTGCCTTATGGGATATATACAGTTTTAGACTACTTAAAATAATATTTACAAGCCAAATGAGGTGGAAAAGCAAAAGCTACAGGAATCAGAGAGACTAGATGTATAAGGAGCCCAAGTCACACCATCCACTTCGGGACCATGGAAGAACAAAATTTGAACGCAAGTCAACGGGGCTAAAATCGCTATTTTCTAATGCCGCTTGTTTTGTGCCATGGATTTCACACATGATGTACGTGAATTTTAAATACGCAATTTGATACCAAGAATGCACTTATTTTCAAACAGGGGGACGCTATTTTAGATTTTGTGTGAAAATAAGTCCAGGACTATAAATGCGCTTCACAAAAGTGATGTCATCGAACCAGACACGGAGAAAGACAGAGGGAAAATGGCTGTAAGTTCACCAAACTTCAAATCCTTTCGACAGGAGTAAAGAATCACCATAAGCCTGGCCATGTGGTATGTAGCAGCTACGCTAGGGGAGAAGAGAGTCTGTGGGGACGTCACATGTGCGACGTGCTGATGTCTGATTTGTAGTCATGCTAATTACGAACTTTTACAAGCTAATAAATCTCATAGTATGTGACAGGCATGGTCGAACACCCATCAGTACTTTTCATTTAAATTGCAGTACAACATATGTGTGAGCCAGGGCGTAAGGCTAAGCAGATTAGAAAATAGTTCTTTAGCCCCATTGACTTGCATTAATTTGGTTCGTTGTTCCGGGGACCCATGAGCCGATCGGAAAGGGAGGAGACTTAGGCGCCCTGTACACAAATACAACTGGAACAGAAATAACTAAAACTCTTCTAAAGCAGTCTTCCAGCTACATCTTTTTCCAAGAAAACAGAGAAAGTAAATAATTCCTGAGAGAGAAGTAAAAAAGGGATTGGGATCTGTGAACCTTAGTCCTACCAGGTGCTACAAATGGAGTGAGAAATTTGATCTGGAAAAAAAAGCGTAGAAAAAGTCCACGGCGTGGAATCGTGCTCGCTCCTTACATTTCAGAGCTGAGTCTGCAATTATGGAAACACACACAGACACACACTCTAGCATTTGTTGTGAGGACCATCATTGACTTCCATTCATTTTGGTTACTGGATTGTGCCTAACCCTAACTAGTCTGCTCCTACCTCTAACCTTAACTAAAAAGTAATTCACACCTAAAATTAACCAGTAGAGCTCTGCAATACTGTCCCATAGTGAGGACCAGCAAAATGTCCTCACTGCTACTGATGTCCTCAGTTTGCAGGTAAAAAAAACTTGCTTTGGTCCTCACTTTGATGTATACACTGGTACACACACACACACACACACACACACACACACACACACACACACACACACACACACACACACACACACACACACACACACACACACACGCACACGCACACGCACGGACGTGCACGCGCGCGCACACACACTCACACACACACCTTCAGATGAAGCTGGACATGCAACTGTGGAAAAATCAGCAGAACACATCAGGAGAACAGTGGAGCATTGTTAAGGAAACATTTCCACGGAGATCTGTGTAATCTACAGCCAGATTAGGTTGAGGGGAAGAAAAAGCGAAGAAAACAAAGTGGTCCAAACAGCATCAGATATTCTGCTCTGAGGGGAATGTAGTGCTAAATCACCGGAGAAACAAAACTGTGGTCGGAAAGGGCAGGAAGAAAAATCACTTCTGCTAAACTTTTGCAACAGTGGCCAACAGGAAGTGGTGCACTTTCACAGATGTCACGAAAAAGGGGACCAAATGCACCTGAAGGACAAATTCAACCAATCAGATGTTTTGGGATTATTTATAGAAAGAGCTGAAACCAGAAGGAAGCAGGGAATGACAACATAGAAATAAATCACAGGAACGAGGGCCAGGCCCGCTCAGAAAGCCCTCAAAGGGACCACCTCTACAGACGGAGCCACATTGTTTAACATCTGTTTTGCAGCTTGGCCATGCATAGTGGTTTACGTTGAGAAAGCAGTGTGTGTATATCATCTTTGGACCACGTCCACTGGGATTCTGAGCGTTGGCTGTCCGATGCAAACGTTTCATTGGGGAAGAAGAAAGTATTGAGCTGTTTTCTGCTACTTTTCATCAAGAGTCTTAATTATGCGCAAAAAAACAAATGTCTTTTTTAACTTTACATGCAAAAATGTCATATTTTACCTTTTGTTGTTTCTTCTTTTGCCTTTCAAATCCTCCACGTCCCTCCTGTTTCATACAACAGAACCATATGGAGGAAATTTGCTCTCCTGGAAAGTGTGTTGAAGTTTTCATTTGTCAAAAATGATTTGCATCTGAAACAGACTTTCTGAAAATACGATACCACAGCTCATGAGAAGGTCAACGTAAGGCCAGCGCTGCAACTGATGTTTGAAACGTTAACTTCACCAGTCTGTCAGCGGATGCTTGTTCTGCCGTTTGGCCAGACGTGATTCTAGACACATTTATCCTTAAATATTAGTGCTCCAGATTTTTGGAAAAATAAATTACATTTGTCTCTGGAGTGCACTGACGTCTGGACAAAGTCAGAGAACCATCTGATTCAGATTGTTGCACGAAGCTTTTGTTTAAGCAGATTGAACAAGTCTGGAGAGCTCTGTAAGACAAGACAGCGTGATTTTAAAAACATAAATCTCTCAAACTCGGTTTATAAATCAGACATTTCAATGGATTACAGCTGATTCACTGAACTGAAAGAGATGCTGCAGAGAAATCTGTACAATAGTAATGATACTATTTGATTTACATTAAGGGTTTCAAATTTCACTTAATCGCAAAACACACACAAAAAAGAAAAATAATTCCTGAAAAACACATTTTTATTATAAAATAAGCAACAAGTACAAAAACAGTTTAAATGACAAAGCAAAAAATGTATAGTTTAGAAAAAACAGAATACTAAAAGCAGGATTAAAAACTACCGTCATTTCTGAAAACAGTCCCACATCACACCAGCTTTTCTGGCTGACGTTCATCGGCGCTCAACACCTTGGACTTGGCTCACGACATTCTGATTTAGCACAAATCAATATAATAAGAAAACTTTAAAGGTGTGGATCACTCGTTTAATCAATACATTTGCGATTGTTTCTAGTAGAAATTAATGCCTTGTGTATTGTGTTCTGGGGAACCAAAGCTCTGATGCACAAGTTCCAGGAAATAGAAGTGAGCCACATCCCAGTTGGGCCCAATCCCAATACAGTACTTGCAACTTCCACCCTAGCGCCCTTCAATTGCGCAATCCGCGTCGACGCAGACGTGGGTGAAGTGTATTACCCACAATCCATTGCTGCGGGAGAAAAGGCTCAGGTGCCTTTTCTGTATTTTTAAATGAAAGTGGTTCATTTTAGGGTGATTAATTGATGCTCAGAGTATTTTAGACAAAGCATCAATGAATATAAATTTACTTCAAACAATTGTCTGGTTGTTTGTTTGAAGATTGTTAATAAAGTTTTTTTTAAATATCACAGTGACCAGTATCCCGGTGCTGTTGATGACGCAATGCTTCCTGTCCCAATTCAAAAATTGTGTGCACACTTGTATATGCACTCAAAGCCTTATTGCATACTTCCTCTAAGTGCACTTCACAGAGGACCGTAGGACGCAGTGCGAGTATTGGGATTGGGCCTTGAGCTTCATACCACAGGATTTGGAGTCTTATTTCCTGATGTTTGGACATCTCATCTCTGATTGGCTAAAAGCAACCTGACTCTACCATTGACTCTGTAACATTGATGTTTTATTTCCACAAATAACACAAACCTGAAAGAGTTGCTAATGCTAACGGTTAGCTTTTACTAGCCAAGATGATCTCTGGTGTTTCCTGGACGCTGTGAGTAAAGATGGGTCAATCCATGAATGTTAAGTGATGTAGATCTGTCAGGCTTTTCAGATCCTAGAGTTTCGCCATCAATTTTCTGTCAGAAGCTAATGCAGGAGATAGGTGTAGGAGACTATTTTCATGTTCAGCCCGCATGAAAAACTCAGCGACCAATTCAAATGAAAACACTTTTTTTAAATGTTTTGTCAGTGTTCTACGCCTTTAAAAAGGCTTTAACTTTCTTTCGTGACACTTGTACAGAAAGCCACATGTGGCAAATTCTGTCACCTATAAAATATAAAACCAAAGGAATAATGAAATAAATATGCTGATAACTACTGGGAGGTGTGGAATATGATAACATATTTATTCATAAAGATTGGGTAAAAAAGAACACACGGTTTTGATGAACTGTTTCTAAAATTAGGTGTGGAATAAAAGGTCTGACTCATCCTCAAAAACACTAAATCTAAAGTGCAACAACTCCATTTAAAAAGGTAAATTTCCCACCAGTTCAGATCTGATTTTTTGCCCTTTGAGCTGCCATACCTTCATCTTATGAAACCTGAAACTTCCCAATTTCCATTTAGCACATTAGGCTTCTCATAAAGACGTGACATGCGGCCTAAAAGTGATGTTCAGATTGTTTGAAGTAGCTTTCTGTGGGAAGGTCATAAACATTTAATATTTAACCTGATGTGGTAGCTCTTTGAACAGCTTTAGCTTGGAGAAATAGCAATTAGTTTTTAGACCTAACAGCTCCTTGCAGTGGGTCCAATTTCACAGTGGATTCAATAAACTCTACTCTGTAGTGTTTTGTATTTGCATATTATGTATGTGAAATTTTCACAGAAACCAACCTCAAAAAAATCAGCACTACGCCTTTAAAACCTTATCAGCTTGAATGCACAGAAGAAGCTTTTTTCCTATTTGCTCTCATTCTGAGTTTTCACTTCTCATATTTTGAGCAACACAACAAATCAAGCTGAACATAGAAACTGATGCTTTTTCGTCCATTAAATCTGTAAATGAGCAGAAATAAAAAAAATATGATGGCTGAAAAAAGGTACATTTTCAAAAGATGAAAGTTTGAATTTTATTTAGCATTTAGTAAAAAGTTTTTATTTATATGATGTGTCCAGCACTACCATTGATTTAATGTTGAAGACATGAACACTAAATTAAATCTGATTGAACCTATTGGTTGTTTCTGCTGATTTCTGGTGCGTTTCTTGTCACTCACCAGGAAGAAAAAGTCAGATTTACACAATCAGTTTCTTAGTTTCTTGGATGTGACTTTTTTAAGTGGCTGGTTCTTTTCATCCTGGATTGTATCCTGATCAGGGTGAGTTTGGGTCGTCTTTGACTCATAGAGCTGTTTCAGGCTGAGGGTCTGCTGCTCCTTGGTGGGTTCCCGTTGGGCCTGGCGCAGCAGACGTTTCAGGTTCTTTACCTTCTCCTTGAGGTGGCTGTTGGATTTTTCAAGGGATCGCACTTTCTGGGAGAGAGTCTTCACCCTCTCCTCCTCCTCAAACAGAGCCTTCTGCACAGAGGAGCACAACAACTGTGAAGAAAAGAAAAGAGAACATTGATTTTATTGAGACTTTAAAATAAAATCCATCAAAAGTCCCAGAAGTTAGACCTTTCCCTAAAACCTTGATAGTACCTGCTGGAATCAACTGTCTGATAGCAAAGCATTGCATGAAAGACTTTCTTGAGACCCTTAAAAAAATAACCATCATGGTTACCAAAGTGTTATGACTGAATCTTCAAACAAGGAAGTTTCTGTGATAAAACCTTTTGACATTTCAGCTCCCGTGAAGCTTCCTGCTCAAACGAAGGGTCAGTGTCAGCAAATGAAGCTTCAGCAAATACAACTGGCTTAAGACCAGTGATGTTATTATTGGATTTTTGATGTAGCACCTGACAAATCTGCTGTTTTGACAGTGATTTCCTTTGGACACGAGAGAAAGCTGCTGATGTGCTTTTTAGGCCTGAGAGCCAAAGTCAACAGCTTGTCATTGGTTCTAGATTTACTATTGTTTGTGTATAATTGAGCCCAAAGAAAAAGAATGTTTGTTTTGGATACTTGGAGCTTGTCGAGAGGGAGGAGAGTATGGGAAAATATTAACAAAAAAATAACAAGGCAGTATTTTTGACCGTTGCTGCAGTGGAACGTATGTCCTCCTTCTCATGCGGGAGGATTTAGTATTTAAGTACTTCAATGACTAATCCATGAAGTGATTGAGCACTTGAATGCCAGTTCCTCTACCCACCTATAAGTGTACTCCTATACCTACCCACCACAGCAACAGGATTATCATGTTTGCAGATGGCACGACACTGTCATCAGAGATGTCATACAGGGTAATGAGGTAGACCAGGTATCAGAGTGGTGCAGAGTACGTAACCTGCTCCACAAAATCCAATGAAACAAAGAAACTTGTCACTGACTTCAGAAAAAAACAAGACTGACATCCTGCTAAGATCATCTCTGAAGCCTGTGTAGAGGATGACCTGAAATAGAGCGCTTAAGCAGGTGCAACAGTCTGTTTTATTTGAGGATCCTCAGGAAGAACCTGAAATCCAACAACTAGTGATTCATTTGAAAATAATGTATAGACAGCAGCATAAATGTCTAATTCAACCATTTTTTTGTTTCTACTTTGGGGTTTGCAGGAGGATTCAGGTCACAGCCTCTGCAGGTTTCCCAGGGAATAACCTACTGTTTTAATTAGGAACGTGTCACAAAGATGTTGGTGTTGCCTTTTCTGTGGAAAACTAATTAAAGTGACAATGAGGTCCAGTTCTCAAGCTCTTTGAACAGTTCCAAAAACCCGCCATAAGACTTGCGGAGACAGAGCTTTCTCTGTGGTTGGTCCCAAACTGTGGCATAAGCTACCACTCAACATCAGGACCACACAGAATCTACAGCATTTGAAATCCCTTCGTAAGACGCACTTTTTTGATCTGGCTTTTAATGCAGGTTGACTTGAGCATCTTAATAGTTTTTCACAATTTTTAATAAAATTGTGACAGTTGTGTGCTCATCTTATTTTAGGTTATTATTGTTGGTTTGTTTTACCTTGTACAGCGCTTTGGGTGTAGCTTTGCTCTTGTAAATGTGCTCTATAAGTAAAATTGACCTTGACCGTGATAATGTGTATTTTGCCTGGCGATAGGAGGCAGTACATATCTAAACCATTGCAAGCAGGTGGTATTTGGTGTTCGAGTAAGACCTTAAAGCAACAGATAGCAATTTGGGTGAAAAATCCCCAGGGGGAACAACCTCCAGCAAAACGAGAAGCACATCAGACTCCCTTTCATTATTGGCAATGAGAGGTAAGAGGTAAGGTAAGAGGTAAATGTGTAAAACAACAACTTTAATGAATGTTGAAAGTTTTGTAAACCATTTGTTACAAATCAGTAAATGCATTTTGTCCTCATGGGCTCCCATAGAAGGCAACATGGCGTCTAATATGGCGTCGCCCAGAGACTTAGATCTGCTCCCATGTATTGTAGACTTGGTTGTTATGGTTATGTGTTAACTGGGCATCATTTAATTCATTTTCAACAACATTTTGGTGGATATATCCAGAGATTAACGGTAAAAACTACACATTAGCTATGTTTACATGCCCTATCCCACTCAAATCTTGGTTGATCGGAAATCCCAAATTTCTGTTTGCATGCACAATAACTGAAATGATCCGATCAAGCCGTGAGTTTACATGCACCAATTATTCAGTTTCCCTGCATTACCAAGCCGTCTGATAGTTTTTCCTCACTAAAACATCAGTTCCATGAGAGAGACGCACGCATTCTGACACCTTAGCTTGTTTGAACTAACGTGTGCCATCAGAAACATTCAAACCATTTTTAAAAGAGAAGTTGAGCTTTCAAGTTAATTAAAGTGTGCGACTCCGCACTCGCGCTGTTGAAGCATAAACCAAGCTTTAGAAATCAGCCTGAACCTGCTCTGATATGGGAGGAGTCTCTCTCTCTCCCTTACTCAACTACGTTCTCTCTCTTTGTCCCGGGCTCACCTACGGTGCCGTTATTATCGGCTCTAGCAGCGCTGTGTGTGGGAACATAAAACAGGGAAAATAACCTGAACATGCAGCTCTGGCAGCTGTGGAGTTGGGCTCGGCTCTGGACGGTACACCCCACCCCCCTCCCTCGCGCTGGCTTTTGCCGCTGCCCTAACACAGGGAGGAAATCCCCGGATGTAAAAGAAATTACACACCTGATCCTGGATCAGTCAAAACCGCTAAAACCGCAGCTTTGACAGTCACATGATTGTGCTATTTGAAATCGCAATTTTGGTCCAAAAACGATAGATCGATCAGCCCTAACCAGCGGTACGTAACGTTACTGCTCCTCCACCGCAGGAGAGGAGAGCAAGATAGTTTCTCTCCCGCTATGTTTTCGACTTCTCCTGAGTGTCTGCAAAGGTGGAAAGGTGCTGAAGTTGACCACATGTGCAGTGGACATTATTTTACTCCAAGAATCAGAATGAGTGTGTACATAGACGTCAATCGGAATGATGACCGGACAAAACCACGCCTCAATTGGAATGGAATTTTATTCCAATTCGGCTGTATTGGATCAGAATTTTCCGATCTGTCTATCCATCTATCCATCCGTCCGTCCATCCATCCATCCATCCATCCATCCATCCATCCATCTATAATCCATCTGTCCGTCCGTCCGTCCGTCCTGCCTGCCTACAGAAAGATGTAAATTAACCTACAGAAAGATGTAAATGAGTAGTACCTACCTACAGAAAGATGTAAATGAGTAACTAAAGGCATGTGTGGTAATCAGTAAACTGAAACCAGGTGCACATAAGGCAGAGAGCAAAACCATCTGAGTCAAAACACACAGAAAGAAAATATAAAAATAAAAAAAAGCAAAGAGAGAAAAAAATACAATATTATTTTGATATCTAGCATGAAAATGACAATAATCATAAAACTCAAAGAGCAACTACCTAAAAGCAACCCATTGAAGCAACCCCACAGATCAACCTGAGGTAAGGAACACGATAACACAGCATACTGTTTAAATAAGACACCCCTGTGAGCTGAAACCCAACATGCCTGTGAACCTGAGACAAACAATCCAAAGACCCAGACCTTTCCCTGGATTTAAAACAAATTAGCTCCAGATGTGTCTAACTGTGTGCCCATGTGGCTGAGAGTAGACCCAAAAGCTTCCACACAGGCCAGCGGGACAGCCCGTTAAATTCTCTGCCATCAGATAACAACCACTGAGGGTTTTGAGGAAATGTTAAAAATGTGCAGCACACCCACATCATTGGTTAGAAAATGACTTGTGGTAATTTTAGATCTGGACTATTTTTTTTTCCCATGTGCTCTCACTTTCGTCTCCAAGGAATTTCTATGAAAGTACGGGACTGAACAAAGAAAGACATGAAATGCAGAAATTGTCAAACATAAAGTTAGCGTTTGGTGAAGCCATTTGACTTTAACATGAGCTTATATTAGAGATGGACCAGAACCAATCAGATCCATCATGCTGACACGGGCCCAGCAGCTATAACAACTTCTCATAGTTCAGCCACATTTCTGTGCATTTTATTAATCTCTTACAAAACATATGTTGCTTAAATTTTATTTTATGCATCTTCAGTAATTTAAAGAAAAGTAAAGACAAAATTTGTGATTATTTCTCAATTTGCAACATGGAGGGAGAAAGAACAAGCTACACTAAAATACATTTGGAAAAGTGATCCTGCAAATGACGTAAAAGTAGGTTTTTGAAACTCAGGTGCTTTGGTAAAAATGTTGATGGATTTCCTATTTATTCAAGTTTCAAAAAAATACTGTGAGTAAACAAGTACGGGATGTCTCAGTCTACGTCTGTTATACACAAGGGAAGCCACAATATTATGCTTAAAGGAGCTGCCGTCTATTTATGGAGCCATAGTCTGCACAAGCTGGACGAGGGGCTAAAAGTAAAAGAAAGAAAGAAAACGATCATTTACATAGTGCCTCTGAAGATAAAAATCATGAGGCGCTTCACAAGAACAAATAATTTTTATGTATAAAAAAAGACAATAAAAAATCCGGTAAAAATTTGATAAAAAACATAAGAAAAGGGAAAGAGAAAATTAATGGGAAAGTGTGTGTGTATAGGGGGGGGGGGGGGGGGGGGGGGATATCACCCCGCTTCTCCTCCAGCTTTACTGGCTGCCATTCAACTTCAGGGTTCATTTCAAGATCCTGGTTCTGGTCTATAGGACCTTACATGGACAAGCACCATCTTACATTGGTGATCTTCTTAGTCCCTACACCCCCAGCAGGTCCGTGAGGTCCAGTGATCAAAGCCTACTGGTTGTGAAGCCCACCAGGCTAAAGACCAAAGGTGACAGATCATTTGCTGCTGTGGCCCCCAGACTCTGGAACTCTCTCCCCCTGAGCCTGAGATCAATGGACTCAGTAATAGGCGTCATTTTAACCGGGGACGCCGGGGACATGTCCCCGGCAAAATTTGTGATTGGCAGCTGTGTCCCCGCCACTTTCAAAAAAGCCTGCTGAT